ATAGTGAGACTGACTCTGAAGAGAATGAGGAAGTAGTTGGGGCATTTTCACATCGGTGCAACACCCTGTCGCATCGAGTTGCTGAAAAAGATGATGTCCCATTGAAAGAGGCAAAGATGGAAGAAGTGAAGGCTCGAATTTGTAGGGCCAAAAGCTTAATGTACATTGATGTAAAAATCAATGGGAAGCCAATTAGGGCTATGGTGAATACTGGTGCTACCCACAACTACCTTGCATGTACCGAAGTAGATCGACTCGGACTTGTTCTAGAAAAGGGTAGTGGAAAAGTCAAAGAAATCAACTCCGCTGCTCAACCAATAGCTGGAGTGGTGAAATCGGTGTTGATCAAAGCAGGTCCTTTCGAGGGAAGGACAAATTTATCTGCAGTTCAGATAGATGATTTCAAGCTTACTCTAGGATTGGAATTTCTTCGGGATACTAAGACAGCGGTGTTGCCATATTCCGATTCGTTAATGATGATGGGTAATAAGCCGTGTGTCATCCCTACACAGGTTGGGAAGATGGGCGAGAAGAGTATCTCAGCCATGTAATTTAGTAAAGGTTTCAAGAGAAATGAACCCTCTTTTTTGTGCACTCTTCGATTAGAGGAGGCCGAAAAGGCGAATGGTCCTATTCCAAAACCCGTTAAAAGGCTTATTCGGGAATTTGAGGACATCATGCCGGAAGAATTACCAAAGAAATTACCACCAAGAAGGACGATTGATCATGAGATCGAACTTATTCCAGGCGCCAAAGCTCCCGCCAGGGCACCATACCGTATGTTTCAGCCTGAGCTTAAAGAACTTAGGAAGCAATTGGGGGAAATGTTAGAGAACGTGGACGACTAGGGAACTAGAGGCGGGCTTGTGAAAACAGACTAGAGTCAGGCTCCATTTACTACCTCCTACAGGAATTTCAACGTAAATGCCTGTATTTGATCTTCACGGTCGTCTTCTTGGAGTTCCAACTCTCCACCTCCAACTCCAACCCTGCATGGCTAAGTGAAGAATTAGATTCCACAGGCCAAGAAAGACTAAAATGGGTGCAGAAAAATTATATGATTTACAATTACTGCTCGAATGCAAAACGCTTCCCACCAGTGTGTACTATCAAGATCGCACAATGATAAACCATGCAAAGGGTACATAAAATTTTTCAGTTCTTTTTTGTTAATACAAAAGGGTTTTTGGCAGCATATAGGCATATATACCGTGGCTCCCTACTTTTCTGTTCAATAGAATTCTTCGATTTCACCTTTTAGGTACCTACTTACTGGCTTTGAACCAGTATATGAATGTTCATTTATCACTATCTTGTATATCGGCAAATATGAGATTCCATTTATATTTCTTATAAATTATACAACATGAAACGTCATTCATGTTGCAAGCAAAAACCATGACTATACGATCTCCTATGTACGGTGGACAAAAGTTGTAATGCCCACCTACTACTGTGATGATGCCACGTCAACGATCAAAAGAAAAAAAGTTTGATTTGTTGACGTGACGACGTCACATTAACAGTGAGCAATTGTTATCCTATCCACTAAGAACATTAGATCATCTCTTATAATACTATCTATCATCAATCAACACTAATGTCTCATGAAACTATGCAATAGATATTTTGATCTGTGACTAAGCAAAGAATGCGTAATGATATCTGCAACGGCTCCTAAAGTTAATTGCCATGTTAGATAATGAAATTATTGTTTTGAGAAAACTTCTCCAAAATATAATTCCAACATTTCTTCAGGCAAACGTGTAGATTCCATGTACTTCATCACAGGCTAAAAGGGTGAAGTCTATGAACGACCCAAGGAGAATAGACGCTACAAATAAAGAATTTGGAAATCACAATGCAACAGAAATGAACACGTACATAATGTATATTAGCAATCATTTGCAGAAATTTTAACATTGAAATCATAGTCTGATGAAAATACTTAATTAAACAGATAAAGTTATAAAAGCGAACAACATACTGTACATACTGGAAAATGTGGAGTCCTGAAACCTAGCGAATCTACTTGATCTGAAGAAGAGTTTCAGCAATTGTCAGATCCAGTTGATGGTTAAGATTCAATGTCAAACTCCATCACCAGAGCAAATTCTATTCGTCTTCCAACTCCACAATCTATGCCCTCTTCTCAGCTGCCTTCTTCCTGACAACCCATCTCATTTCAGCCTTAATTTTCGGCCGACCCATCTCATTAATGGAAGAGAGACCTCCCATGCCGAAATGCGAAAGCAACATCTGCATATCTTCTTCTTCAAGCATTTCGTGACTTCTGATGTAATTTTCCTCATCTGATAAGAAGTCATCAACACCCTCCACCCGATTACAGGAACAGTCCTCAAAAGGATTAAGATTCGCTTGCTGAATAGACGAGTTTCCCGCTTGGAATGATGATGACAGAGGTGGACCGAGGGCAACCCTAATCCTATCATCATATGATAGGTTAACCTGCTGGTCGGGCTGAGTAAAAGAGGTGGTATCAAACTGGGTGTGGGAACTGGAATTCATAAGCTGAGACTGATTCGAATATCGAGTAATCATATTGTCGTGACATCCCATGCTGGAAGGCCAAATCAAGTGCTGCATATCATCATTTTCAAGCATTTCAGGTAAGGAGTCATCAACACCCTTCACCCAATTATGGGACCAGTCCTCATAAGGAATAAGATTCGCTTGCTGAATAGAAGAGATTCCAGCTTCGAATGATGGTGACAGAGGTGGACCAAGGGCATCCCCAATCCTATTATCATATGATAGGTTAACCTGCTGGTCAGGCTGAGTAAAAGAGGTGGTATCAAACTGGCTGCGGGAACTGGAATTCATAAGCTGAGACTGGGTAGAATATCGAGTAATCATATTGCTGTAAACTGAACCTGGGATTGAGAAGAAAAAATTACTAATTTTCACAATGCATTACGAAACAAATGTCAGTGCGGCCATGTATATGACTTTTTCACGAAATAATAGACGATTCAAAAAGAATAGAATATAATTGTACATGCATTTTCCTGATCTGTCGCATTTCAAGAAATAGTAGAGGTTACCGGTGAAGATAACCAAAAGAGAGTGGAATACAAATAAAAATAGAACAAAATAAAGTGGAACCAAAAAGAGAGCTACAGCGATTTTATAATGGTATGCGCACTTTCCTGATCTTGTGTGCCAACCACCCCCCACCACCAACCCAAACAGTCATCCTTCCACCACCAAGGACACAAATCATTTCCTTGCTCCAAAATCTATGACACATTTCCCGGTTGTTATCTATGGTTTAGAGCCTCAACCGTGCTATTAAGATCGATGATCACCTCTTAAAATATTCTCTCTCTCTCTCTCTCTCTCTCTCTCTATATATATATATAGGCAGGAACAGGGGCGCCACCATAATCCCCTTCCAGAGAAAAGAAATGGTCAAGAACACCAGAAATGCTCCAAAGCAGCCCCCCCCCCCCCCCCCAAAAAAAAAACCAAAAAAAAA